CGTCCAAGGGGGAGGTATTGAAGGCAAGGGGGGGGGGGGGAGTGAAAGCTGGGGGAGAACAGGAGGAGAGGAGGGAGCTTGGCAGATACGGGTGTGGGAAGTGGGGTGGGAAGAGTTTGGGGTAGGAAAAGTTCAGGGTCAGCAGGGTTATGCAGTAGGTGCTGAGTATGCTACTCCAGCCCTGGGATACAAGCATCCTGGGTATGTGTGAGAAGCCACTGACAACCCTTCTTGCAGTGAACTTTCCAGCCCTGGCACTGGAGGCGTTGGAACACAGGCTCGTTCTCAGGGGATGAAGTGCCTAGCTGTCTGTGCATGCACATAAGGATGCCTTCTAGCTGTCTTGGGCCCTCCTTGTGTGTGGATAATTCCCTGCTCCTTGTAGGAAGGGAGCACTTGCTCCAGTGTGGGTCATTAGCAATTGGGCTCCCTGCCCAGTGACAGGTGGGGGTGGCACTGACTGGCTCTGTGTATTGGCTCAGGACCAGCTCAGCGAGTCTGCCGGCCCAGTGAGCTCCCCCCAGCAGCCGCAGCCGCAGCCGCAGCCACAGCAGCCAACAGAATCGTATCGCTCAGCTTTGGAGCAGAAGCTGGAGGAGCTGGAGGATAAAGGGTTAGTCCGGATCCTGCGTGGGCCAGAGGGAGACGTTGCCATCGAGATTGTCCCTGTTGTCATAGAAACCCCAAGCGTCCCCGTGGTTACTGTAGAAGCCTCCGTCTCTACCAGCACAGGTATCTGCCACCCTCTGATGGGCAGCACAGGTGGTGGGAGGGAGGAGAGGAGTCCTGTTTGTCTCTGGATGGAGCCAGGAACTCCCCCAGTCTGGGGCAGAGCCATCTATGGAGTTGAGGCAGTGGTGCACTCGGATTTCCCTTCCTCCTCACACCAAGGGCTAGGGGTCTTTTCCCTGCTCCATCCTGTTTGGAGCTGGGAGTCCCTTTTTTCAGGCAGGCTGGATTTCTAGATGGCAACCTTGCCCTGGGTACCAGCCCTGCAGAACCTCCCCAAAGTCTCCCTGAGGTGTGCACCTGCCCCTCTGAAAATCAGGGACTCACTGTGCCAGCACTGCACCATCTTGGGATGCAAACACGCACAAGATCAAAAAAAGCACATGACATGGAGACCTTATGCTGGAGGGTCACAAAGCACTCTGCAAAGTGGATCACCGTCACAGAATGGGGAGGGGGGAAACTGAGTCACAGAGGGAGGAGGGGACTTGCCTGAGGGCAAGGGCACAGATGCCTCCCACCTTGCCAAGCCCAGGCCCAGAACCCTCCATTGTTAGACTGAGTGGAGGGGCTCATTGGCTTTGCATTTATTTTGCAGATTTCCTGTCTCCTTCCACCCCTCTCCCACCACCGTCTCCTGCTGCAGCTCCAGCTCTTCCTCCACCACCCCCACCACTACCCCACACCAAAGATGCTGGCCCTGCCACCCCATCCAGCGAGCAACAGTCCCTACCTTCTCCACCACCGCCAGCCCCACCCCTCCCTGGGGTTGACACCCCTCCACCTGCCCCACCACTGCCTGGGGTGGAAATCCCACCCCCACCTCCCCTCTCAATGACTGATGGCCCTGCTCCTCCTCCTCCTCCACCCCCACCCCCACCCATGGGACAGCCACTGGGAGGAAGCCTAATCACAGCAGCCAGCTCAGGTAAGCCAAGCTTGGGGTGTGGGTGCAGCTCAGCACAGAAGGGAACATTATGCTCATATGAGGGCAGGGGTACCAGGATGAGTGCCCTGGACGCCACAGAGCAGGCATTGCCTGGCTGGCTTCTCATTTCCTCCATCCCCAAGAAGGGGAGGGAGGTGTCCATAGCTCTTACCTGCCTTGGCCTCTCTGCCGAGGCAGAAGCCGAAGGGCTGGGTTGTGTGGGATGTGAAGTCTCACACCACCTCACTAACATCCCTAACCAGCCCTCTGAGGACATTGTCCTGGGCCAGGGAGCCCCAGTGCTACAGCCCTGTTGGCTCTTTGAGTTCATCTAGTTCTGTATTGCCCCATGGACAGGGCAGCTTGGGTGCTTAGTCCAGTAAGTTGCCTGATACCTCAGTCCATGTCTCCTCAACTCTGGCAGCAAAGCCACACCTCTGGGACAGGGGCCTCTACTCAGGATACCTGGCTTGTTGTGTTCTGCTATGGTAGAGGCATGAAGAGCCCCCTCATACCTTTGCTGCTCTGAGGACCTGCCGGGTCCCCAGCCTCATGGTGCCCCATGGGAACTGAGTCTACTCTCATGCTGTCCTGCCCACTCCCACTTGACTCTCATCCTTGTCCTTGTTGCAGTCAAAGTCAAAAAGCCAATACAAACCAAGTTCCGGATGCCCATTTTCAACTGGGTAGCTCTGAAACCCAACCAGATTAACGGGACCGTCTTCAATGACCTCAATGATGAGAAGATCTTGGAGGTGAGGATCTGCTCTTGAGGCTGCCTTTCTGGGATGGAACCAGCTCACTGTGACAGGAGGAGGTGGGGGGGGGGTAGTAAAGTCTGGAGAGGGTTGGGGTAGAGGAAGTTATTGTGGCCTGGGGCTGAGCTGGACAGCCAGTGAGCTGTTTGCTGGGCTGAGAACATGTGCCTAAGGTTAGCATTGTGCCAGGAAAGCTCAGGGCTGTCAGGCAACAGGTTCTCCACTGGATGAAAACCCCACAGCCTGCTCCCAAAGGGGAGACTCCAGCACACTGCAGCCTCGTCTCCTATTGAAAGGGCAGGGCATGCCTGCGAGGCAGAGGGACTCTGTCCTGTAGACTCTGCACACCCAGGAGTTCCCTGAAGCAGCAGTTCAGCACCATGGAGAGGAGATCTCTGCGTGCTGGGGGCAGGTCTCAGGGCTGTAGGTCTGCAGCCAGCTCAGCCCTGGAGTAACCTGCTTGCCTTGTTTCCATATGTCCATCCCATTCTCCTCCCTCCCCACCCCTTTGTGCTCCCTCCCTTCTCTCCACCATGCTCCTCTGCTTTGCTACTACCTCTTCTTGCCTCTCTGCTGCTCCCTGCAGGAGCTGGACATGAGTGACTTTGAGGAGCAGTTCAAGACCAAGGCACAAGGCCCCAGCCTGGACATTGGCACCCTGAAGGCAAAAGTCACTCAGAAGGCCCCCAGCAAGGTGACGCTGATAGAGTCCAACCGGGCCAAGAACCTGGCCATCACACTCCGCAAAGGTGGCCTCAGCATTGACAGCATCTGCAAAGCCATCCAGACGTGAGTGTCACCCCAGCCCCTTGCCTCTGTGCATGTATGGGCTGGCCGGAGCCATTGGCAGGATGCTAGAGGGCAGGAAATTCTGGAAGTTGCCCCACTGTCTAGCTGGAGCCAGCCCTCTCCATGCATGTGGGCACTGGCCTACATCCACCTCCCCCAGCTCCCTGTGCATCCCTGCACCAAACCTATAGCCAGTACCCGCAACCAGCTCTCAACTGGACCCCTGTGGAGGACAGTTATCAGGGCTATGGTGTCAGACACTTGACACAGGCTGAACTGGTGGTCCAGTACCACTGCTGAGCTGATCCTCCCAATCCTCTCTTCTGTGAGAGGTGGGACTGGGGATCAGGACACCTGGGTTCTATCCTTAATGTTCAGGGGTAGTTACGAATTCTGTACACAACAAGGACACCTAGGAATCCACACACAGACTGGTCCTGGGTGCCAGGCCCTGTATAGGTCAGTTACAGAGCTGGCCCTGGCACCCAAAACTTCCTGATCTGCCTGATGGAATGGACAGACAGACAGACGGGGCTGGGAGGGTGATCTAACAGTCAAACAGAATGGAGCAGGAGATTCAGCTGGGCACATAACTGAGCAGTGCCAGGGCAATCAGGGGCACTGTGTCTCAAAGGGGCTTAGAGG